GAAGGTGAGACCGAAGTCGACGCCATACACTTGCTCGTTGCCGCACGCAACGAGCCTCGCCTTGAATCTCTCAATGGCCCCGTCCGCGTCCAACTTCGTCTTGAACACCCATTTTGTGTGCAATACGTGGCTGCCTGTCGGTGGCACCACCACGACCCACACTCCGTTCTCCTCGAGCGCTCTGAGCTCTTCCGCAATGGCAAGTAGCCACTTCTTACGCAGCCTACTTCTAATTGCTTGCCCGTAGTTCTTCGGGTCCGCCTCACGGACGCTGTTCACCACGTCCGTAGGCTGTCCTTCCCTCTCTCCACCAGCGCCGTCGGTCGCTACTGCCTCAGCAGCCTTCCGCGTTGCCGAGCGCGTCTGGTGTTTATCTCGCGTCCAGCGGTTCTTCTTCCCGCTGCGCTTCTTTGTTTTGTCTTTGGCTTTCTTTCCGGCAGTGTTGTCCTCCGAAACGTCCGTGCCCTCCTCCGACTCGTTCTCGTCATCGAGGTGCACGCGCTTCAACTGCGCGTTCTGCACGTCAGACAACGTCTCCACGTTGCTCACGTGCCTAGTGACTACAACTACCTTGTCCTTAGGGATGTACACGCGGTACCCCTTGATCTCGTCGCTCTTGCCGACGATCATGCCGGGTTTGCCTCTCTCTCCGAGAGCCTTGTTCTTAGCGTTAACGTGCACCGTGCACGGCGACCCGAATACCACGATGTCACTCAAGTCTGGTGTGCTCTTCGTGAGCATCTGCAACGGCGGCTTCGACCCAGGGTTTGCCTTGGTGGGGCTCCGGTTCAATATGTAGGCTGCATATTCCGCAGCGTCGCCCCAGAAACTCAGAGGTAGCCCACAGGCGAAGACCATGCTCCGTACCATGTTCATGATGGTACGGTGCATCCTCTCGGCCTTGCCGTTGCTTGCCTGATTCCGGGGCTCGCTGATCTGTCGTGCAATGCCAGTGCTTTTACAGAACAGGTCGAGCGTCTGGTACTCGCCCCCACCGTCCGTCCTAAGTACGTGAATCTTGCAGTTGAACTGGCGCTCAAAGAACGCCATGAAGTGCTTGAACTTCAGTGCCGCTACGTCCTTGGTCTTGGCTAAGAAGACCCTACAGTAATTTGTCCGGTGATCTATAAAGTTAACCATATACCGGTTCCCAAGTCTGTCTCTTGGAGTCATCGGCCCCTTAAGATCGGAGCAGATGACTCCTCCGATCACGTCAATCGGTGAGTTCTTTCCACTGTCCTTCCGTGACTGACTACGCTTTGTCTGCTTGCCCTGCGCACAGGCTAGGCAGTTCGCTCGTACCTCGTCCGTGAGAGCGATCCCCAACGCCGGGTCCTTCGCCATCCGAATGAAGGTGTCGTAGTTAAGGTGTCCCAGTCTACGGTGGAAGTGCATCAGCGGCCCGGTCTGGACGTCCTGCCCAACCGCCGCTTCGTTCTCCGCGATTACGGACATCAACGTGTCGCCCGTGTTCCTCGCCCCGCCGGATCCCGTCGTGCTCACTGTCAACACGTTATTCGACTTCTTCACGTCGAATATCACCGGCCCTCCGTTCATCGCCGCTACCACGCGGCGCTTTCCTCGGTACGACAACCCGTACCCCTTCGACTCCAACAGCCCATACGAAATGATATTCCTCTCCAGGTTCTGTGCGTACTGCACGTTCCGCAGCCGCACCCTCGTCGCCTTGCCCAGGACCGTCGTTTCCAGTAGCACGGATCCACGCTTCGTTACCTTGAGCGCTCCTCCGTCCGCCGCCACACACTGACTCTCGAAGTCCTCTGGATCCTCCAGCAGGCTCAAGTCATTTACCAGGTGACGGCTCGAGCCGCTGTCGAGGATCCAGTCCCCGTTCTCCAGCGTCGACTCGTCGACCGTGAGCACGAAGTCCGCATCTCCGTCCTCACGCCACTGTTCTCTCTTATCCGGGCACGCCGCCTTCAGGTGCCCGGTTTTACCGCACTTGAAACACTTGCGGTTGTCCGCCCTGCCATCGTGGACGTCGTTCACCACGTCACGACCCAGATTCTTGCCACGGAGCTCGATCTCGGTGGACTGGGCGAAGTGCGCCAGCTCCTCCGCTTGGCGCAAGTAGTCCGTCCTCGCGAGGTTCAACCTCGACAGCATCGACACTCGCATGGCCGGGTCGGCGTAATGGACGATGTTGTCCAAGACCAGGTTGTCCGCGCCTCCGCACGCCTCGCTGACCGCTACCAAGTACAGGTAGTGCTCGGTCCAGCTCCTCTTGGCGCTCTTGGCCGCCGTGAACATCTTCATGCTCTGTGCCGGCGTGATCTTCGTTGCGAACGTGTGCAGCAGTCGCTGCATCGCGTGCTCCAGCGTAGGGCTCTCTTCCCACCAGGTCTCCACCTGTCGGTTATAGTACCGCTCAGCCATCCCGCTGAGGTGGTGGCCGAGGATGTCGACCTTGACATCCTCTCCCCACTGGAAACCAGACGCACGCTCGGCGAACTGGATCTGGCGCACGAAGCGCTTTCCCCAGGACAGGAAACCGCTGCCCAAGCCATGATAAAATTCCTTACCGTCAAATGGGCGAATGCCCAGCTTGCGTTGCCTCGTGTCCGGCACAGGTGGTACGGCGTAACCCGGCGTTGGTGGTGGTGGTGCCGGTGGCTGGTACTGCCGCGGCGGCACAAAGTGCTGTGGCAGTGCCGGCTGTGGAGCCTGTGCCATCTCCACGTTCGCGGCCGCGTTTGCGTAGTCGCGCTGCCTCATGCCAAAGTAAGTCGCCGGGGAAACACCTGGCGAATTACGTGGCGGTGGCGTTTGATCTAGGGCTTGACGGTCCATCGCCCTCCCTAGACTGAGCGAAGAACCGAACACGCTGGCCTCCTGGCCTTTAAGCCGCTCCTTCTCCTCCTGTCGCTCCTGCGACGCCTCCAGGCGCTCCATGCGCTCCGTGAGTCCCGTGAGAAGGTCCAGCAGCTTCTCCTGCGTGTCCTTCGGCTTCTCCGCCGTCTTGACCTCCTTATCTTCGTCGTACTGGCCGCCAGCCCTTTCGTGACCGGCCTTTGCTTCCGACTGCACGCGGTCTTCGTCCGCGGCAACAGTATGAACCATTGGACCCATAACCTGTTAGATTGTAGCGATACTGTGAAAATATGGAAAGTGATATTGACAGTTACTACTGTCTTCCTGCAATATCTTCCGGCAACCATCCGTTGCCGTCCCTGCTTGCGCAATCGTACAGTCGGCGCCCGAACCGGTCCAGAGAACCGTGATCACGGTCAACTTCCAACACCACCTGCAGGTGTATCTTGAGAATGGAGACTGGCTTGCTGCCGACTCCGACGTGGTCAAGGCACTGATGCTTGGCAAAGGTGCCGATGCTGTGTGTGAGGAAGCCCTTTCCTCGAACGACCAACTCGACCAGTGCTTACCTCGCTAGGTCAAGCCAATAGTGTGCACATACTTGTGCGATTGAGAGACGTACCCTCGGTTCTCGGTAAACACCCTCGCGATGTACTGGAGACGAGGAACTCAGAAGACAAAGATATGCTGGAAGTGAAGTATGTAGTCCTGGGGGATTCGAGCTGCACTGAACAATCACTCCTTATCAAGAAGGCTTTTTGTGTTATGGACCTGCTGTACCTGCTGAAAACACGACTATATGGTGCTGACTTGTTCATTCGCGCGAGCGCAATTAATCTCTACTTGGCACGAACTGACACAGGAAAGTGGCTGTCTATGGATGATATGGATGTCGAACCAGCGGATGACGCTCAGATTCAGTCATGGCTTCAAGTTAAACTTGACCCAGAGCAAATGATCGGAGATTCAATCACCCGAACCTGGAAAATTCAACGTGCTGCTACTGTCACCTTCAAGATTTGTTCTATGGACGAGGAATAGTCAATTGCATGCTAAATCCTATCGCCTCACCGCAGAGGATGTAAAGGATGCAGATGAAGTGGACGCTTTGGTCGATCTGACCCACGAAGTTCAGCGTTTGGAGCAGGACATAACGCCCTTCATTGTGCTGGAGAGTTCGGTGGGAATGGGAAGGACGCAAATGGCGTTTAACTTGATGGCTCGAGATGATGTAGACGTATTTTACATTATCTGTGGACGAAAGAAAGACGATGTTCTCAACGGATTTCGCAATATTTCTCATGCTTTCATGCGCTGTGTGAAAAAAGACCTCCCTTGCGTTGGCGACGGGAGTGTGTCCGAGATATCACAGCAGAATGAACTGTATACATACTCGTTCCTTTATGCTGTACTGGGTGGGGTGCCGGCGCTCACAGGAACTCGGACACGTGATGAAGTTTTTCAGACGAAACGCGAGTATTTGGGGTGTTGCGTATTTTTCCTGGATGGATTGCCTTCTCTTGTTCAAGGATTGTCGAACTGGGAAAAAAGGGAAAATATAACAAACCTGCCGATTTATCCGAAATGTCTTCCGCTCCTTTGACTATTATTACAAGTGTGACGAACGGAGTTGCGAGTGATCTTCTCGGTTTGAAGGAGTCAAGCGAATACGAAGAACTGTCGTGTATCATTTTCCCAATGATTCCTCGATTCAAACCTAGTGACTCGATGGCTCTGAGCAGGCTACCAGCCATAGTTGGTCGCAGCAGACCATTATTCGCGAAACAGGCCTTAGACTACACTAGTGCAAACAAGTTTGATGATAACACAAAGTTGGACGAGTATATGAATGCAATGATGAAGACGCTTAGTGCCAAATGGGATGAAGATCGAGTGGGAGCGTATTTTCACGTGGGTCAAGTACGTCTCTTTATTGGATCTAGCTATCGTCCGAGACCAGATCCGGTTGGTCATGTCCGCTGTCATTCCAGCCGACCTGCACCAACGACGCCCACTCGACTAAGTTTTAACTGGTCTGGTAAATTAGTAGACGATCAAAAGGATCCTTGGACGTGTAGTCGAGTGGTTCCCAGCCTGGACGATGATCCTCTTTTGCACTTCATCTTCATGGGTGGCAGTGGGTTTCACGCTTTGCCGACGCTAGAGGATCGCCAATTTCATATTGCCACGCTATTGTCCGGGCTCAAGTATACGCCCGCGTGGTTACTAATAGTGGCGACAATAGTCCCGAGCGCTTGCAAGAACTTGTGGCTGGGGCAATTGTTGCAGCCAGTCGACACAATGGCTTCGCTGGACGGAAAGACGCCAAGTTTGGTATCTTTTTATCCGCTTTGATGTATGAGTTTGGTTCGAAAGCAGAGCGCCACACACGCCAGCGCTTCTCTGAGGTGTTGGAGAAAACGTTATCGCAAATACATCTGTCTGTGCCTAATTGTTTGCCGCTGGATATGGAGCTCCCGCAGTTTCTTAAGAACGCGCAGCTTAAGTTTGGAACATTGAAGCGAGTTCAGACAGATTATTCAGGTCTTGTTTTTGTGGACGTCAAGATTTCTGTTGAGCTCGCATCGAATCAACCGGAAGAAGAAATCGATTTTGTGAACACTATCCGACGGACTCCACGAGACAGCATCGTTCATATTATCATTCTAGGCTTGCTGGAACAAAGCTACTTCGACGACGTTGATGCCTTAGCGGAAGAGGATGCAGCTTCACGTGTGATCATCTTTATTGGTAGCACTCAAGAGATAAAAATCATTCATGCACGTGGGGATGGAGATACTGGTTGTGGTGTGAGTGCAACCAAACTGATTATATTTCTTGAGCTACCAGACTTCTCCCAGCTATACGTAGCTACTTGAATGGGTTACTGGATGTCGATCCATGTGCTTTACTATGTAGTATCTTGTTAACCGGTTCCTAAAAGAAACTCACATGCGTTCACTGCACTTCTGTAATTTTGGAATCTTGAATATCGTATTAGAAACCACGTCGGATATCGATCGTTGTCTTCCTCTTGAGTCGGCCTGTAAGCAACAAATAAGTTAGAATTAGGTCTGATCAATTAGTGCAATCGCTACCTACTTAAAACTGTAGCGGCACGACGCCGCACATCGGGCGGATCTCGCAATAATTCGTCCAGGTTGGTAGCTACACCAGTAGTGGATATTTTCACATGAATGTTGTCCTGGCCATTCTGTCTCTTGTCGGTTGGTATGATGTTTTCTGGTTGCTTGTGTAGTATACACTGGCCACTGCGTAGTCGAGCAATCGCCACGCGAGCATGGGTTCCACACACCAGCACTATTTTCACCTCGTCACTAGTAATAGCTGACACGAATCCATGAAAATCCTCTTCAGACAATCGGGATTCCAACACCACTGCGTCTCCTACACTAAAAGTTTCCTCCATCAATTCGCCATCCTCCATCCGACAGTGTAGTTTCTGTCCGTCTTCAACGACATCCACTTGCACATTGAGATTCCCACCTTCTTCCACCGTCATTCTCTCCCTCTCTTGGAGTTCACGATTGCGTTGCAACTTCTCACACTCGTCCATTACGTCGTGCACGATCCTTTCAGGAGTTGGCAGCACTCCGTCCGATAAGTGTCGGAAGTTAAAATCCCTCATCGTCCTCTTCTGAGCCTTTCGGAGTTGCTTCTCCAGCAACTTAGGCTGCAATCTCCCCTTCTTTCGCGCCATTCTAGGATTAATTTCTTCTGTTGTTTGCACCTTTACGTTGCTCTTGGTTAATGGCGTGCCGTCCAGCGCCTTAAGTCGCTTCTCGATCTTCGTTCGTTTCCGTCTTGTGGTCTCCAGCAACTTGCGCTTAAGTTGCTCTCTCTGCGATCGGAATACGTCCTTGGCCTGTTGCAGATCGAACTCAAAGAGACTGAGCGCGTCTCGCTGGGAGAACTGGAGCTGGCTTTGTGCCACCTGCAGCTCGCGCTCGCGGTCCTCCTCAAAAGGTCTACAGCGCCGCATAAAGTCCTCCAGCACGCCAGTATTTAGCTTCTCTTGCTGCTGTAGCACACGGTCGATGCTCTCCTGGTAGATCTGGCGCTCCAGCTCCAGTAACTCGCGCACATTGAGCTCGCGTCGCTCGGTTCCGGCCATAAGCTCCAAAATGACTATTATCCTGGTATCTATCATACTCTCAAAAAGTCATTTCAACAGGTTGGGAAGTAATCCTCTTCTATATCATAAATTATTTTCTACATTCCAAATACCAGTTTTCAGCCAGTTTCGGGTTCTCATAACCGGATCATGCGTCTCCCTGTCTCGGTGCTGCTCTTGCTGCTCCAGCTCTGCGGAGCGGACGCCTCGTCCGTGACTGCAGGCGCGCCCGAGCACCTGGTGACCACAGGCGGCGAATGCGTGCGCTTATTCCACTCTGGGGGAAGCATTGGGTGCCGCAGTCTCACGAGATCCGACATGGCGCCTTTGTACCCGATCACAAGTTCCGACGAGCTCCAGAGCTTCGTATCAGGCTCAGCTGACCAGCAGGAAGCTGACTCGAAGTATGTGCTGGTGATGACCGAGTCGCTTTTGAGCTACGACGCCATCGAGGCCGGAGTTGACCGCATTGGAGGCATCTTCGTCTACCCAGAGTCGACGAATGGCTCGTTCGATGTCCCAACGCCGCAGGGAGACGGCACCGTGGACGCAGCCTTGAACCCTTTCGCTAGTGATAAGACCAGGTGGAACCCGACCGGTAACGGACTGCTGGTTGAGAGGCTGCCCTTCCCTGTTGTGATGCTGCAGAACGCCACGACGGGGGCTGAGTTCACGAAACGTGCACAGATCAACCTAAAGGACTCCGCTGGAGCGACGTATAAGGCCTTTATGAACTACTATTTCGGACCGGAAGAGATGAACTCATTGAAATGCTTGAGCTTCACCAACATTTACGGAAACCGCAGTCCAAAGTGCGACCCCATCGGAGGCCAGAGTTCATGGGCTATGCGAGGGAATTTAAAGTCGGGTGAGATCGTTATGGCCATGGCTGGCATGGATGCGAATTCACTGTCCCATGTACTGGCACCCGGAGCCAACACTGGTGCGTCGGGACTTGTGGCTCTACTAGCAGCGGCTCATGCCCTCAAAGGTTTACCAGACTCGGCGTTCGATAAAAAGGTGGTGTTTGCAGCCTTCCAAGCTGAGAAATTCGGGTTTGTCGGATCGAGAAAGTTCCTCTCGGACTTGCAGAAGTTCACGAAAGACCCCGAGGGAGCTTGTGCGTTCCCCGTGGATGATTCGTCGTCCCCTATGGGCCCAAGTTTCTGCACTAACCCGATGCTCACTAGCACGGAGTTCGCCAACTTGAAGCTCGCGAACATCTCGTACGCTATCGCAGTGGATCAGGTGGGTATTCTGCCGAAATCTGGCAACTTTACGCTGCATGTGAACCCTCACGCGAACGACTCTAGTGACCTAGTGGACGCTATTCTGAACGCTCCGTCAGGAGCCTCTGTGGCTGAAGGTAGCACTGGTTCGCTCCCTCCTACACCGTTAACATCGTTCGTAAACGATGCAGAGTATGGTCAACGTGATCTTGTAAGCGCAGTGCTGGCTGGATACGACGAGAGTTACACTTCTGAGAGGACATACAACAGCCGTCATGACGAGTTTTCTCTCCTTGATGTCGACGCTGTTGTACAAGCTGCTCAGGTATTGGCTGAGAGTATTTTCACACTTGCTTCGAGCAATGCTACGACTGCACAGATGGACAAGATCGAGGTGGATACGTGGTTGGTTGAGTCCATGCTGTCGTGTATTACTACCGACTGGAACTGTGGTCTCATGAAGAAATACTCCCAGTTCATGGTCACGACGTTGATTGAGTATCTGAGTCTGACCGACTCGGCCAGTCCGTCGTACTCTGAGCCAGCTACAGTGTACCCGGGTACACTGAACCGTGATCGCTCCATGATGGTGCTGAAGAAGAGTGATGCCTCGTACTACTCGCTGTTCAATGAGTCTTGGTCGGATGAGGACTATGCTGTGCGGCTTTTCCCGAATGCCTACGAGGTCTTCACACGCGCCTTCCTGGCGTCTGCTATGGTTCCTAACGCTACAGCTGACGGCGCTCCTTCGTGCTCACAAAGTCAAGGATGCAGTGACGGTGGGAAGGGCATGGAGTGTGTCTATCCTGGTGTCTGCGTGAAGAAGAGTGCGTTCCATCACGAAGCCAGCTCACCGGGGATTAAGCGTACGGATACACCACTACAATACGATGTTGTGAACTCGTCGCATCCCATCTGGACAGAGCCGCAGTGGGCTAATGACATCGGCAGCTACTCGTTCCCGGACCCTGGCGCGTGGATCGGCTGGATTACGCTCGCTATCGGCGTTGTGGTGACTGGACTTGGCGTCGGAGCGTCGTTCATGGTACTCAGGAGCGTACAGAAGATGAAGCTGATGTAAGCTTACACATGTGCTGTTTCGGTAGATTCCAACATTCATAAAAAAAAATAAAAAAAATTGGAAAAAGCATATAGATTTATGTATGTGCTTCGAGTGCTTACAGTTTTCCATTTTGCATGACTTACTCGGTGGATGCACGATAACTTACGTCCTCGTATTTAATTCTTGTCAGGGGGATAACATTTTCTTATTCAAGAAAATATAACATTTTATTGTGACGGCTCTCCTTCGGTTCCCTCACCACCGTCCCCGATATTACTCTCATCGTCCATTCCATCGTCATCATCACCACCACCACCTCGTCCGATCGGGACGATATCTGCAGTGCCATAACATGCGCAATCACCTTCGCAGGCGAAGCAGGCCACGAAAATAATGCTTAAAAACAGTAAGAAGAGAACCATGTCGGTGTAGAAGAACACCATCCCTTGCATGTACTCGTCTGGGGAGAGTCTCTCGTTCATACACGACGCATCGTAGGCAAACCACATGATGAGCAACAGCATGACCGCGAGTGACGCACTGTATTGCAGCGGCGAAACCACATCCACCATGTAGAAAAAGTAGATGAATAGTGACGTCACGAAGCCCAAGAAGAAGGAGATTAAAAGCACGACTGGGTAGCTGATCAACGTCGGTTGGACATTCGGGTCGAACGAGCGTCTAATGATTATTGTACACAGTAACGTGGTGACCCCCATGATACCGAAGAGGAAGGTAAAGATGAAGATACTGGCCTTGGTCTCGAACAAGCAGTCAAACGCGGTGAAGAACAGACTCTGTGTGACGGTATACACTCCGAGAACCATGAAGTTGAGCGGGAAGCGGTATTTCACCAAGTACAGCCAGAGCAGAGCCAACACCATGAGCACAAACATGACGAAGACGTAGTGCCAATTGGAGAAGGTTTTTTCGAAAGCGTCTGCGATTGCTGGGACATAGGAGAAAAAGGCAATCAGTATGATAACTGCGAGTAGCTGCAGTGTGAAGATCGAGAAGAGTTTGCGACGGAAACCTTGCTGGATCTCCACAGGCATGTGAATGACTGCAAAGGGGTCATCCATGGGATTGGACCCCGTTTGGAAGACGGAGAGCGAGATAATTGTTCGAGACTCCATGAAGTTGGCATCAAACCTCTTCTTGACTACCTCGAAGAACTTCATATCGGTTTCCGTTGCTTTACCTGAAGCCTGCTTCTCCTCTAAGTGCTTGATTAGAATCGAACCTCGTCGGTAGTGTGCCTTACGTTTTGTCGGATCCAATTCATCTTCCGACTGGAACAGTCTTGTCACACGTTTCATCATTGTACGCATGGATCCTTGTTGTGCCGTGGCGCGGGTACGCTCTGGAGTGCTCACAGCGTTTCTCGACAGATCTTCTGCTTCGTCACTTTGTTCCTTGTCAGCTACTGGTACTGGATCAGCCCAAGTGTGGTCTCGTGTGCGATGACCATCTACACTTGGAGATCTCCCGCCAGCTTCGAGTCTCCGTTGTGGCAAATCATCCGATGCTACCGCGTTATCGGGTGTCATGTCCATCATGCTTGCTTCGGTGCCGCCCAAACTGCTTTCCCTCGATGGGGAAGGGTCAATTGAGTAACAGCAGCTCGAGTTGCAGCCTATATTTTGCTGACTGGTTTCATCATGAGCAGGTCATCAATATAAAAATATGAGAATGCGAAGTATTTATAGGACTCATTAACTACAATCGCAGCTTATTTTCTGGTAGACTTTTTCTCATGTCAAACCACGCTGTTCTCCTCATGATACACGATCCCCGAACACCAAGTTCATCGCTGCGTCTACCACATGCCCTTATCTCATCAGTACAGCATTCTTCGTAAATGACGTGAAAGACCATAGAGCAAGAACGGAAGGTTCAACTTGATGACCATCACTCCTTCATGTAATTTGGTGTAAGTAACGTCATTTTCGGCTCAAATCCAGTGAAACTAGGACGCGCAACTGATACCGTACTGATACCGTGTGTATAGAGCCGGGAAGAGCGATGCGGCGATCACTGCCGCAATTGAGCGAAGCATCATTTGTTCATTTGCACCGCTCAGATCCCGTTCCTAGATCTACGCGCAAGTGGGTGCAGTCCCTCCATAGATTAGCCAAGTATGGGCGAGGCGAGCGCGCCGGCAGTGCTTGCTGCATCTCCACCGGCAGTTACTGCTGTCCCCAGTGCGTCTCCCGCGTCCACGCCGAGCACAAGCCGTAGCGGCCGCAACCTGCGTAAAAAGATGGTGGACGAGCTCAAGAACGTTAAGTTGCGCAAAAGTCCGGCGAGCAAGGACAAGAACTCGACGCGTACAGCACCGCCGCCACTGGAGCTCAATGAGGACGTGGACGACGAAGAGGACGACGTGGTGCAGGACCCCCAGGCAGCAGGCAAAGCCAAGGGCTGTAGCATCTGCGAGCGTTCATTCACCGTGTTTCGAGCCAAACACACGTGCAAAATATGCGCGCAGAAGATCTGCGACGACTGCAGTAAGAACCGAATGAAGCTGAATCGTAGACTGGAGCGCAAGAAAGGCTCGAGACTGTGCGACCCCTGTGCCAGGAGCTACATCCACGCTGACAACGGCAGCGGCGAGGACACGTTCCCTCCGGACGCGTCCCCGACGCTCATGTCGATACACAGCGAGGACACGATGACCCACAAACACGGGGACACGAACGGGTTGTCGCGTCGTCACTCCGTGCCGGCGAAGACGCTGTCGTCACTCATCCAAAACCAGGATAAGGCTGTGATATCGAGTATCTCTACCGCCAAACAGGTTAACAATGCAGGAATCTGCAAGATGCAGGCTACGACTTGTACTCAGGTTAAGCGTGTGGTGCATTTGTCGCATCTCCGCACGCGTCATTGGATGTCACTATTGGCCATCGCTGTGCTGGTTACCCTGCGCGTAATTTACTACACTCGGAGAAACGGCGTCGAAGGAAGTGCTGTAACTCCAGATTCAGATGCATCTAGTCTTGCTCCGTCGTTTGTGGAGCGTGCACTTGACAATTTGCTCTCCATGCGCACATTGGGCACGTACATAGTGGGATTGGTGCTCTTTGACGAGCTGTCGCGTCCGAAAGGAAGCAAAAAACCGGTAAAGAAAATGCATAAGAAGCGACGTCGACGTCGGAGCAGTGTACAGCAGCGTGAGCGCACCAAGTCGTCTCTATCGGACACCAGTGTGGGCAGTAAGCGCCATGCTGTGGATTCTTCCGCTCCGCCGTCGCCTCATACGTCCCAGGACGACGATCTTGAGGTAACGTTGATCGAACAGAACCACGACGAAGGCTTTACGCTGGATAAACTGGTGGCAGCTTTAGAAGAAGGCGCCAGAACACGCGCCCCGGATGGCAATTTGGGTCTTGGCTGCTTCATGACCACATGCAACGTCATTTGCGGGTTTCTGGGCGTATTCGGACGTGCTACTTCGTTCGCTGGTAGCACGGTTGGCGCCTACTTCACTTCTATTGAACACAATCTGGAAGCTTGGCCCGTACCCACTTCTACGAACACGTGGAAGGAACAGAGTGTTAAGGCTGTGATCGAACACGAAGTGGACCTTGGAGTGGCCGATGTGGGCGGTAAGAAGAAGCCATCATGCTCGCGCTGTCTGCTTCGACTTCTGTGGTTCATTCAGTTCGTGGAAGCTTGTGTACGTCTCACTTTACTCGAATCTACCGAGGAAAACTGCTACAATGGCGCCAGTAAAGCTTACGAGGAAACTCTAGGCAAACGTCACCCGTGGCTTGTGCGTAAGGGAGTCAATACGGCACTTGGATCGATCCCCACGCGTAGCCACATTTTGGGAGAGCTTCATGTGGGTGACGGTGACGCGTTGGAACCATTGAGTAAGGCCCATGCCGAACTGGTGCGAGTCATCGCTGAACTCAAGGCCGTCTTCGAAGAGCACGGCCTCACGGACCTCAAATAAACTACTAACGTTAGATACATGTCATGAAATAGCTGCATCCGTTCGAAAAATACTACAAAATACACAAAAGATGAGCTAGCGTTCACCAAGAAAACTTACAGCCACAACTGCACATTCATGAAATACTCGAGAATCTTGAGTCGAGATCAACTCGTCATGTTGGATGCGTAGCTGGATTATCAAGAGTTTGGAACGCAGCTTTTATCAACGTAATAGACACTGTAATATCGAAGTGCTCCTCCGGTCCGTTAAGGAATTAACTGTTCACTAAACCTGCGATACTTTCCGTTCTACAATTCAATTGTAAAGCGCATTATTCGCCCTACATAGCTCGTAGTTTTTTTTAATGCGTGCTCCCGCCATTGCCATTTCAATTACATTATGAGGTATTGCCTTATGGAGGGCCATGGTGTTTGCTCGCGGTATAACCATAAATAATCGAAATCAAACTTAAAAGTATCGTGGAGAAAGCGGAAAAAAGAGCTAAATTCAGCGAAATACCACTGGAAACTAACCAGATCCTAGTCGGTTAAAAAACAAAAAAAAAAAACATTAGCTATACAAATTCATTTTTATTCAATCACACAAAGCCGTGCTGGCGCCCGGAGAAGCTCTGGATTTTATTGGCGCTTTTCTATTTCAAGGAGTTTATAAGAATGGATACATTGACGTAGGAAGA